GGGGGGTCTTAGTGCTCAACCTCTGCCCCTCACCCTGGCCTCCCCCTTCCTTTTGCACATGTTGTGCAGAAAACAGCATGCAGCCACCACATGTGGGATGTTGTGCTCCCCAATGTCCAGGCTGGTGAAGAGGCATCTAAAATGTGCCTTCAAGTGATCAAAGGCACTCTCGACCACTGTGCGGGCCCTGCCTGGTATTAAATGCCTGTCGTGAGGGGTTGAGGAGGGATAAGTGGAGGGATGGCAGTGAGGGGTGAAGCAGAAGCTCCCAGCGGGGAGGACCAGAGGAGAGTGTCACTGATCCCCCATGGAGAAGCTCTCCCTCATGGCCTCTTGGATGTGCACAGCCCCTAGATGGCAGCTTTGGGCAACTGCCCATCAGGGGCTATGCACATCTGGGAGGCCCAGTGACACTCTCCCCTGGTCCTCCCCCCTGGGAGCTTCTGCTTCACCCCTCACTCCCATCCCTCCACTTATCCCTCCCTTCCCCCCTTTCCTGATGAAAAAAGACACTTTTTTTTTAAAAGCTAAACACTCTGTTTTACATAACTGTAGGATCAAAGAGACTGGGGACTCAGGGCTGGTGCTGGGAGTAACTCCAGGATGTATGGATCCCACTGCCATGAGTGCAGAGGCCTCCGCATCCATGGGGGATGGGGAAGTGTGGAGGGAGAAGTGGGAGGGGAAGAGGGAGTGAAAGGAGGAACGACAGCAGGAGATGGAGCAGAGGCTGGAGCGGGAAAAGGCAGCATGCTCTGCACAAGGGTGTGCACATCATCGCACAGGGAGTGGCCCTGCGCAAGCAGCTTCTGCCAACTCTCCCACTATAGCTTCAAGTCCTCCTCCACGTAACCCTGCATAGTTTGATGCAGGGCCTGAGTGCCACCAGGCGGTGCCTCTGGTATTTGTCCATCATATGGGTCCACCAGCCAAAGCCTCGGGTCCGGGAGGCTGTCCCAGGTGGTGTGAACAGCCCTCCACTTGCAGCTGGTCCTGCTGTAGAGAACAAAGAGAGATGGTCAGTCGTCCCAGGGGACACAGTGCCTGAAGCCTAGGCTCATCTGCGAGCCAAGAGCAACAGTTCTTGGCTCTGTCACAGGCCATGTGCACTCTGGCCAATGGCCCCAAATGGCCCCAGGAGTGGGGGCTGACAGGAAACTGTGGGCATGCCTATGTGCTGTGTGAGGGATTGCTGAGTGTGTATATATGTCAATGTCCCCTGACTCGTTTTTGAGGAGGTATGTGGAGGGAGGGTGTCCCAATAGTGTCCCACCCCGGGGTCAGGAGCATAATATGCCTCTCCAGACACCCTGTGCCCAAGAGGTCAAGGGTCCTCTGTGTCAGCCTCCTAGGGCCATGTGCTTCCATGTGCACAGGTTGCTGTGTGACCCATGGCCAGCAAGGGCCAAGCATGGAACTCCCAGCTCCCCCCACCCGGCAATCACCTCCACTCCCTGTATGAAGGGAAAGTGATGGCACTCATGTGATGTACCTTCTCCGGTCTCCAATGATGCCAAGGAAACGACCACAGGGAGGCTTTGGGGCTCCTGGGTCAGCTGCATGCTGAGGCTGTCCTTGTCCAGGTCCTGGTCCTCCTCCTCCTCATTGCTGCCATCCCCCACCCTCATGAGGATCTATAACTGGGGGATGAGGGGAAGGGACTGCCCTGCCCCCTAGGATGTGGTCAAGCTCCTTAAAATAAGGGCACGTGTGGGGGTCTGCCCCAGATTGAGAGCTGCCCTCCTTGGCCCTGGAATAAGCCTGGCAGAACTCTTTCACCCTCATCCGCACCTGTTCTTGGGTATGGATGTGGCCTTTAGTTGCCAGGCTGTCTGCCATCTGGCCATAGATGTCTGCATTCCAGCATCTGGTGTGGAGGTCTTGGGGATTGGTCTCATTGCCCCAAACCCCAGTAATGTCCAGGATCTCCACACCAGACCAGGAAGGCGCACGTCTCTTGTAGCCCCTGGCAGGCTCCTGGGAGCTGTCTGAATGCTCTCTGGGAGCAGAGGAGGGATGCATGGCAGCA